CAGTGATGGTGAACCTATGACACGCGTGTCAGAGGTGACACGCGAACTCATTTTTTTTGGTTGATTTTTCTTTGTTAAATGGCATTTAAATATATAAAATAAATATCAAAAATATAAGTCTTTGTTTTACTATGGTTGCAAATATCAAAAAATTTCTATATGTGACACAGCACCAGAGTTAAGTTAGGGTTTTTCAAAATGCTGACACGCCGAGCTCAAAAGGTTCGCCATCACTGGCCTAGAATGTCCTTCCTCCCTCTCCCTTCCTGGCTCCGTCCCTCCGTTCATTCCAGGCTCTTCACAGTCCACCTCCTCAGGTGCCTCCTGTCCTCTCCCAGGTGGACAAGCCCCCACCTTCATCCTGACCACCTCCTGTGCCTGCTTTTCCTCCGGCCGGCAGCCAAGGCCACACGAGCTACCTGTCCAGTGTTTCTCCGGTTTAAGCTCTCTGAGGGCAGAGAGGTTTTCGGTCTTGTTCAGGGTTGTACCCCAAGAACTTGGCGAGGACTTGGCCCTTGTAGGTATAGAGCAGGCGTGAGCGCGTGAGTCGCCAGAGCCTCCAGAGGGAGCAGTCCTGCCCAAGGTCCTGCCTGCTCGCCTCCCAACGCTCTCCCGGGTCTCACTCAGTCCAAATGCACTCAAAGCAAGAGCGGGCCAAGCAAAGGCCAGGCTGGCCAGTTCCAAGGCCAGGCCCCCACGGGGACATTAGGGTCAGAGTAGGACAGGCCTGGAGGCTGTCATCCCAGCCCCCTCCAGTGGCCCCAGCAAGCATCCCAGCCCACCAAGCTGCACTACACGGCAGCGGGCCCACTGCCTGGCACCATGGGGGACGGTGAGGAAAGCCCACCCCTATCACCCCTCACTGGGCCCCGGTGAACTGCCTGCCCCCCGCCACTGGGCACAGTTCTCTTCTCACAAGGGCTGCGCTCCCAGACGAAGGGCTCGCGCTTCCTTCCTTCTTTAAAGGAAGGACTCAAGTTAACTTGCACCAGGAAAGACAGGAACCAGGGGTCACATGTCAGACCTTGGGTTTAATGATGCTGACCCGGCAGAAAGTCTGGGCCCAGCACTTGTTTTAGAGACGAGTTGACTGAGGAAGGATCAGACAGGGGAAGTGGCCTGTCTGGAAGCTCACAGGGCAGCCCTGTGACCAGCCAGGACCGCCAGCATCGCCCGGTTCGCCGTGAACTCTCGCACCAACCGTCGGTGGGGCTGGGCCATCCTCACCGGGAGACGGTTCAGCCGGCCGCCCGGCTTCGGAGTAGCCTTCCTAGTCTCTCTTCTAAACCCTGAGGCAGTTCCCTCCCAGAGACTGAGGCCCAGCTCCCCGAGCCCGAAGGGAGGCCGCGGGGACGTCACCGCAGTGGCACGGTGGCAAGGAGCACCAGCCTTCCCTGAGCGCCAGGCCCCGTGTTAATCACTGAACACCCCGAAGAGGCCCTTCCATACCCATCACACGGGCACTGTTACCCCCATTTTTCAAACAGGAAAACAGATATAGAACAACTTGGTTATTTGTCCAAAGTCACCTGGCTGGCTGGCTGGTGGCCATGAGGTAAGACCAAACCTGAGTCCTGACCTCCCTATCTCCCTGGCCAGGAGGAGGGGCCGGTCAAGGGGCCAGAGGTGAGGACGGTTCTCAGAAGGGGCTTCTGAGCTGTGCGACTCTAAAGCCAAGGCCCCCCACTGTCCGCCAGGTGGCGGGGATCGCTGAGTCCCAACCAGGGCAGGTGGCCTCCTGGGAGGGAGAGGGGGTGCCCCTGTAAAGATCCCGCATCAGCCTTCCCACCTCAGACAAAGGAGCCTGGGAAGGAAGGGGGAGGATGGTCCCACCCTGCCTGGTCATGGGGCTGCACAGAACCCCCTCGCCTGTGAGCGCGCTGGGGGGCTTTACCCCAGAGGCTCCCACCCCGGCCGGGCCTGCTGGACGGCAGGAGGTCCCGAAACCACGAAACCACGGGTGTCAAAACAGCCCCTCTCCACTGGCAGTTTAGTGGCCAGGCTCCTTGCGAAATGTCATTCCAGTGTGTGAACATACTTAGGCCACTCCTGTGGGCCCAGAGGGCTTTGCTCAACACGCTGGAGACAACCCACCAGCAGTAGCGCAACACCTCGGGCTGCCCCGCGGCCTCTGGCGGAAAGCTGACACTCACAAAGTCCTTCCCTTCCCCTGGGCCGCCTGGGGGAGCCTAGAGAAAACCAGAAGCACCCCCAAGAAAGAGAAGGCTGGACGAACAAGCATAGCACAGGGCAGGGGTCCTGGCTCCGCCCTCCGCCCTGCAGCTTCCTAGAGACAGGACCTGCGTGGGGACCTGCGCGAGTTGGGGGACCTCCCTAGGCCTGTTTCCCTCCCTGGGTCACAGGAGGGCAGTAGGACTGAGGGAAGTGTCATAGGTGATGTACTTAAGCCTGGGGCACAGCGCCATTCTGAGTGGCCCGGCCTCCTGGGGGGACAGAGCACAGGCATGGAGGGGCAGACTCCACCAGCATGGGCTGGACGGGAAACACTACTTGCCGCGCCCCCCACCCTCCCCCCTCCCCACCCCCCACCCCCGCCAGGAAAACTCCCCGCACTAGGCTTCGTCCTAAGATAAGGACCTTCCTTCCAGAGGCATCTGTTTCTTAGGTCTCTGGAGACAACAGCACATCAGAGTTGAGGGGAACAGCCTTCTGGGGGCTTTCCAAGGGGGACAGGAAAGACTGATGGGAAGGAAAGGGTGGGGGGAGAAGCTAGCACAGTCACCTCTGTCCCTAACTCACCGTGACCTTGAGCAGCCACCCCTGCCTTGGGCCTCAGTTTGCCAATCCGCAAAATCCAGCAGCGGTGGCCACCAGTGATCGCCAACTGGCCAGTGATCGCCAACAGCATACGCACCTCCTGCTGTCTAAACTCTGTCACCCCAAATCGGGCGGGTGGAGCCCATGGCTCTGGCAGCTACAGATGGGGAACCCTGACTCCAGGCCCAGGGAGTTGGGAGAACACCAGACATGCTTGTGGCCACTTGAAAAGCCAACAATTCAAATACTGGCCAGAAAGGACGCCAGAGAGGCGGGCCCACACCTAGCCTGGCCCAGAGACCCAGTGGGCTGGGGGGGACACCAGGGTGTCTGCGGGGTCAGAAGGCCTTGCCCTCAGGACTGTGGCCACTCTGAATCCTACACAGAGCAGGGAAAGTTCCTTTCAAAATGGTCCCACATTAAAATAGTCTAAACTGCCGAAACCGGTTTGGCTCAGTGGATAGAGCGTCGGCCTGCGGACTGAAAGGTCCCAGGTTCGATTCTGGTCAAGGGCATGTACCTGGGTTGCGGGCACA